CTCGGCATTCCATACACGAAATGTGTTATCATATGACACAGAGACAATACCCTTTCCATCTGGTAAATATTCAACAAATGACATTCGGTCCTTCTTTGAACACCATTTTGGAGAGATCTCAAAACACAACCCTGGACTAGAATCTCAATGGCCGGGATCGGATGTGATCGAAGGGCTAGTAGAGAAGGCAGCAGGTTTATTTATTTGGGCTAGAACTGTCATTCGATTGATCAGTCGTGGTGAGCCCAGAGGACAATTGCGTCGAATTATGCAGGGACGGAATACAGGAAACATATCCAATCTATACTCTCTCATCTTGGACATATCATTTGCCAATCCGACCAAGGAGGAAATCAATGCTTTCCAAGCAATTATGGGTTCTATAATCCTAGCGAAGTCACCCTTGTCAGTCTCGACCTTGCATCACCTCCTCTTGATTGAAGAATCCATCATATTCTACATCATTAATGGTCTGTACTCGGTCCTAGAGCCCAAGAAGACTCTGCGAATTGCTCATCAGTCATTCGCTGACTTCTTGATTGACGAGAAGGAATGTCCTCCAACCTTTTATATCCAAATCGAACAGCAAAAGGAGAATCTTACTGTAGCGTGTCTAAAGACCATGCAGAAAGAACTCCGATTCAATATATGCCAAATTCAATCATCTTACCTCCGAAATTCGGATATTCCGGGAATCTCCAAAATCATCGAACGCAACATCTCATCTCACCTTTGCTACTCGTGCTGGTACTGGACTGATCACCTCATATCAAGGGGACACGACTCGAATATATGTGAAGAACTCCGATGGTTCATGAATAACCAGTTCCTATTCTGGCTGGAAGTTATGAGTCTCACAGGTCGGGTCAGTAAGGCTTCAGAAATGTTGGGATCATTGATAAATTGGATCAAGGTAGGGTCTTCGACAAATGAAAGTGCCTGAGATGGAACAAAGGTCACTGACATGAATCCTTACAAGTGTCTTCAGGACGCGGACCTGGCAAGAGACATGCAAAGATTCGTAATCACGTTTGGGAATGCCATCTCGCAAAGCGCTCCCCATATTTACTTGTCCGCTTTACCCTTTTCTCCCCGGAATTCAGCCATTTCAATCTTATATAAAGATTCGTACCCTCAAACACTCAAGATCGCATCGGGAGGACAAAACGACTGGCCTGCCATTCGATACTCTTTGACCGGACTCAAAAGTCCAGCCTCGTCTCTCGCATTCTCTCCCGATTGCAAGCGTATAGCTTCGGGACACGAAGACGGTACGATCCGTATATGGGGAGCCGAAATGGGCGATTTGATCGCAGGTCCATTCGAAGGACATATATCGGAGATAGCTTCTATTAAAATTTCACCAGATAACAAGTTAGTACTCTCAAGATCCTTAAATGATGGAATCATCCGAGTGTGGAATATCGATACAGGCGAATGTACTCATAATCGGTTTTTCGGATATTCAGAGTCGCTCATGTCTCCCGCACTTTCGCCGGATGGTAAACGCGTGGTTTCGGCCACCGGAGATGAGGGATTTCTTGTGTGGAGCGTCGAGACAGGTGAAGTTGTCTCAGGACCATTTTCAAAAGATAAAGATATGTGTTTATCAGCTTCTTTCTCACCTGACGGTGGTCGAGTGGCACTAAGTTGTGGTGACACCGTACAGGTGTACGAGGTGGAGACAGGGGTGTTGGTAGCGGGGCCATTCAAAGGACACACGGGTCCAATTATCCTTGTTGAATATTTACCAGATGGAAAGGGTATTGTCTCTGTGTCATATGATAACACATTTCGTGTATGGAATGCCGAG